TTTTTTTTAAATGGTTATGAACTTTATTGGGTTAAAGGTTTTGGCTCGGTCTGATCACCCATGCTTTGTAGAATTCTTTCAGCACCCATTCCCCTAAAATTACCAAAGTTCTCATTAAAAAAAGACTCACCTCACCCTCTTCATTTTTTATTTTTCCTAGACAGACAATTTTGAGAATAGGGGTGCAGAAACGTCTTCCTTCGAGTTCAAACTGACGAGTCTTGAGTGATCCACTCTTAAAAGAGCCTAGACTGCAATCATGGGGATCAAACTTAGTTCACTTTTGATTGAGTACTTCATCATCTGAATTTCAAACCCAACTACATTATAATTGTCATGATATTTGTCGCCATGAACATAAAGTCATAATTCGTGTATCCAATTATAATATAATTAATAGTTTATATATTCATTAATGATAAGATCGAGTTTGACACACTGATGACTGATAGATAAATCTTGATTTACAATTAAAGTCAACTATTTAAATTTTAACTCGCAAATTTCGAATAATTAATTTTTGATATGCAAAAAGAAAAAATGATTTTCCTAATATATGAAAAGAGGGAAACTGACAAAGTTATGCTGTATCAAATGAACCACAACCCCCAAGATGATACATCTCTTATATTAATTTATTATTTAAAACTTCCAAGTTTATTTATATCTTTAAAGCTGACTATAATTGACAAACTCAATGATGTATACTCACCAATAAAAACAATGAGCTCATAAAGTTGAAAGGCTTACACTCACCTTAGGAAGACATATATACTACCGTAACCTATATATAAGGATTAAATTAGGTTGACTGTTGAGCACTTTCCTCTGTGTGTATATATACCTCCGTCAACACCATGTTTGAAAGGTAGGTATGGTGGGTATATATATAAATATATAAATTTTATTTATCATATTTATATAAAATTTTAATTTTTTTATTTTTAATAATTAAATTTTATTTACATTTTTAAAAAATAATTAATTATCTTTTAACCTAAAAAATCATAATAAATATTAATTATTAAAAAAATCAAAAATTTATATAAATATAATATATAAATTTTATATATAAATAAATAAATATACGGGAAAGTGTGTATCAATTCTACTTCTAAAAAAAAAATGGAGTCCCAACCAAAACAACGTCGTTTCTTAATCCCCAATCCCAGCTCTTCTTCGCTCCTTCCGCAATCATCTCTATCTCCTTTAAGCCCCTTTTGCAATCATCTTCATCATCTCCAATATGAACAAAGTGCCAAACAAATTATGAGGATTGTAAGCAAGGAAGCAAAGGGACTACAATTCCAGAAATGATAGGAATAAGGACCACCGATTTTCCTAAATTTATCCAAACAAAATCCAACATCACCTCTTCCAATTTCTTCAATTTTTCACTCAAAAACCCAGCCCCTGCTATTGCCCCCTCTACAATCATCTCCATCTCCTTTTTCACCCCCTTTGCAATCATTGAAAACTATAAAAAAAAAAAAAAAGAGACCCAACAAAGCACTTACCATCCTTTGATTACCGGAGATGATGAATTGTAGTGGCAAAGTTGGGTTGGCGGCGTGGGATTGTGTTTGAAAAATTGAAGGAATAAGAGGAGTCAAGGAGATGAGGAGGTGATTGAGATGATTGCAAAAGGGGCAAAGAAGGAGATGAAGATGATTGTCGGAGTAGGCAAGGAGCAAGGGTTGGATTTTTGAGAGAAAAAATGAATAACAAAGCTGAGTTTTTGAGAGGAAAATAACACTATTTAATTGAAACTTCAATTTTTTTAAGAGGTAGGATTGACCCTACTTTCTCAAATATATATATATATATAAATGTTATGTTTATCGCACTTGGGCCTTTGGTCTAGTGAGATTACATATAAGTGCATTCCTCCTCCCAGTGTAACGATTCGAATCCGAACCTTTACGAATTTGTTAAAAAAAAAAATGCTATGTTTACCATGTTTGAAAAGTGGGGTTTAGTCATTACCAAAAAACAAAAAAGAAAAAAAGAAAAATTTAGTCAATTTGTTGTCAAATCTTAGTCTGTTTGTTGCACTCTCCAATTTGGATGCTTGAGCACGGTAAAAGACTTCCGGTGAATAGTCAGGGTCAAGGATATTTGTCCTGAGTTCAAACGTCAAACTCGATCTGCCGATGCGTATAAATCAAAATTTGCGCTTTTTTGGTCCGGAATTTGACAAAGCTGGTGTGGGTCTAAAGAACCTGCCTCCCTGCTGAAGAGTCCCTTAAAAGAAGAAGAAGAAGAAGAAGAATAGTCATGGTCAAGGATATTTGTCCTGAGTTCAAACGTCAAACTCGATCTGCCGATGCGTACAAATCAAAATTTGCGCTTTTTTTGTCCGGAATTTGACAAAGCTGGTGTGGGTCTAAAGAACCTGCCTCCCTGCTGAAGAGTCCCTTAAAAGAAGAAGAAGAAGAAGAAAGCCAAATAAATTATCCCTTCTTTACTCAAAAATCAAGCAAAAGAAAATAAAATAAGAAACCCATATATAATTAGAAGCATTAATCATATCAATCCTGTAATTTATTAATAAAATTGTTTATATTTTTAACCATAAAATTAAAATTCAACCCATAATGTTTACATACCGGAATTAATTACTCAAAAATCAAGCAAAAGAAAATAAAATAAGAAACCCATATATAATTAGAAGCATTAATCATAATATATACTATCAATCATGTAATTTATTAATAAAATTGTTTATATTTTTAACCATAAAATTAAAATTCAACCCATAATGTTTACACACCGGAATTAATTCATAATATATGAAGATAAAATCAAACCAAGCAAACTGTATAATAGTATACCCAGTGCGACCAATAGTAAAATACCAGTAGAATCAATGCCCAACCGGAGAGAGGGGTGGACCTGATCCGCTAGGGCGCAAACAACAGAGCCTCCATGGCATCACACCAAGCCTGAGTCCAAACGTACTCTTCCAGGGCGTGCATTCTCTCTGCTTTAAGCTGTGGGAGCATCGCTTCCATCTCTCTGAACTCCACTCTTTCTTTCTTGTTGGAGTTCTTCACGCGTTTCATCTCCATCTTTATAGCTCCCATTTTCACTTCCACGTGCCGGCGAGTAGTATTCATGGCTCTCTGTCATTGGATCATGTGCAAAAATTAAAAAGAAAAAGAAAAAAGAGTCAATAAGTTAACCAAAGAAAACTACTAGTAATAAATCCAGAAATTAACGAACTCTGAAGGCTACCTTAAGATGCTGCTGTCTGAGACTAACTCCGACGGGCACCTGAAGGTAGTTCTGTCTTCTACACAGGCGACGACGAATTTTCTTTTCAGTAGTCATAGCTGATGGGTGTATAAGATTTCTCTTTTCGCTAAATGGACAGAATTAAAGAAAAGCAGCGAGGGACGAGGCACAAGGGAAGGATTCAAGCGGGCAACGAGGAATTTATAGACGAGAAAGGGGGGGAAGAAAGATCCTTTTGGATTTTAGACCGGCACATAACGAATCCAACAAATAAGACGCCCTTAAGGCCTTAACCCATCACATTGTTGGGTGGAGACGCGCGATATATTCTTTTCACAAATCGCACGATGCTCCTGATTTTCTTGAGTTAGCTTTATAATTAGTGTTTATTTCTGGTATGGGACTAGATAAGGTTGTGGTTTTCTTTGGACGGAAATGTTTTCCTTTAATTAGGTTCGATTTGACCCCTCACTGTGCATTTCCTGTTGGGTTGGTTTTTTTTTTTTTTTTTTAACCTATGATTGAAAATTAAAGTAAATTAAATCTAGTAAAATTGAAGGGAGGAAATACATGATATGTTTTCTTCATTAAAAAAAAAAAACACATTTATGAACGGTTAATGTCGGAGACCCAGCAAATTCACTTCAATATTCTTCATAGTGTACTCCATTAGTCCACTTAATTACAGCACTTTAATCAAAATTAATTTTAGAAAATAAAAAATAAAGGATATTATTTTTGTGGTCCAAGGATAAATTTGTTGATGATGGCATTTTATTAATCAAATCATATATAAAGTGGACACTGAAAAAATAAAAATATGAAAAAAAAGAAGAAGAAAAACCCACTACAAAAAGATTGCTGAATTTCTCTTTTTTACTCTTTGTTCGTCCAAATCTCCATCCTCCATTCTGGGATTTACTACTTCACGCTTCGCCCCGTTGCCCACTTCAGTTAAACCTCTTACCGTGCAACAACGATTAAAAAAAAAAAAAAAACAACTCTCATGTAAGTCATACACCATCAATGGATCTTCTTCCCTTCCCATCGTTAAACCTTCAAGAACATTGTCCCTAATCAATTTGTGCGGCCAAATGCAAACACTTATGATGACGAAGATACTTCTTGGTTGAGAAAATGAAGTAGAGGCAGGTATCTATATGTCCACTTTCTTTATTTCAACAATTACAATTTAAGAATAAAAGAAAGGGAATATTTGCATAATATTATTGTCATTCAAATCTTAATATCAATTAAAATATTAGATGCACTGATTAACTGACATACAAAATTTAGTGCATATGTGGACTTGATTATTTGGTTAGAACTGCTTCCCTTTTGTTAATTGATTTGGTAGGTTCAACTTTGCAAATGACAAAAAGCCTCAGCTGGATTCGGTCTCGAGCGATAAAAAACGCGTTGTCGTGCGAGATCGCGCGCCATCGTGCGCGATCATTCGCCCCTATCTTTCCTGTCAACCTCATCGGTAGATCGGCGTTCCACTTTCGTTCGATATTGTGGGCCATTTGTTCCGATTAGTTTTCAACCTCACAAGGATAACCGCATTAATCTTTCTCCTATATTAATATACTCCTATATAAGAAGAAATTACTCAATACTTCTTGCTTTAAGGAAGACGGACAAAAAGGGAGGTGAGGTGGCATTATTTTAACAAGTAAATTTAATTATTATGTCAATAACATAATTTTATCAGTTGTAATAATTTTCCTTTCCCTTTCTTTATATTAAACAGTCTATAAAATTATCATTTTTCCTCTATAATTCATGTATGGAAACGCATGATTTTTTGTTTATCCATAGAAAGCAGACCTCAATATATACAACCAGTGGTAGAAATGTAATAGAAGGTGACATTCATATTGATAATTAATTTAACACAGCAACATATGGCAAAGGCAAAACCCATGTCCTCTCTAATTAATCTGCAAGATGTTCGTTAGATAGAACCACGTTTATTCGCAACAAGGCGAGGCTGGGAGCCTAGATTTCGCTAGAGAAGGAGGCTGGTCTCCTGTCTCAGCTGTGCACACTCCGCTTTGATCTTTTCAAAATGTTGTTTCATTTCTCTTTGTCCTTGTCTTAATCTTGATTGTTCCTCGTTTAGGGCGTCCATTTCTGACGGCAGCTCCTCCATCTTGGCCTCCAACCTCCTACTTACTCTTCGTTCCTGTGCACATAACATATGATAAATTAACTAACCCCTCTCTAAGAAGATGAAAAAAATTGCATACAAAGTTGGTTGTTGTTGATATGCCTGATTCCTCATTTGATATCTCTCTAGTAGAAAGCTCAAGCTGGCTACTTCTCTGAATATATGATCTCTAAGGATTCTGAGTTGAGAAAATGAAGCGGAGCTAATACTATATATTGTTGAGTTATTGTCCTTCTCATAATTGATTGGTTAGGTCGAAACTTACTGATGACAAAAGCCTCAGGTTTAGATCTATTTTTTTCTTGGCGTCCGCTCGGGTTTAGATCTCGAACGATAAAAAACGTTTCATCGTGCGGGATCGCTGGCCACTGTCTGCTTTTTTAATTTCTCTTTTTCGCTATCGATCGATTCTCTCTGTCTTTCCTTTCAACATTGTCGGCAGATTGTGGGCAATGCGTTCGACTTTCGTTCGATTGTGGGCCATTTCTTCCATTAAATTTTCAACCTCCTTTGGGTGACTACATCAATCGTTTTCATCTTTCAATGTACTTTCGTATGAAGAAGAAATTATTTACGTAATACCTCTTGGTAGTACCCTCTACTCCAGGGAAAATTCACTCAATCAACGGAGAAATTCTCCGTTAGATGTCTAAAGCTTCTCTCTCCTGCCCACTCTAGTCCACTCTTTCATCTCCTTAGTTTTTTTTCTTTACCAAATCTCCTTTTTTCTGCATTGTTTTTCATCCATGATATATAAATTGAAATAATAAATCATTTTTTATTTTTTGCAATATGTCAATTGTGTTTGTTTGAATAAACCTTCAAATTAGTAAACTTAAATGAAAAAGGGTCTTGTGCCGTTTGCCCCTCTTCTTTGCTCTTCCTAATAACCCAAACCAAGAAAATAAAATTTCTTATTAATAGAAACTTTATTGATAGCCAAAAAAAAAGCACAAACTTTATGGAAATGTCAGATCATGTAAGAAGAGAAGGATATGAGATTTTAACTTGATTAGAATAGAAGAAAAGTGCTAGAATACAAAAAAATAAAAAATAAAAAATAACCTGAGAAAAAAAGGTGAAAGATACTGGGGTTTCAAAAGTAGTTAGTGTTAAATATTATTAAAAAAAAGTTAGCATAAACAAAATTTCCACTTCCAGACGAATTATCAATACCAATTTAATTACCCAAGTTTTATGGGTCTTCTTCTAGCCTAGAATGGAGGTTAAGAGAGAAATTGATTGAGCCGGCAGATAAATTTACAAAGTAATTTGATATATTAGGCTTGGGAGCAATTGAAAGAAGAAAGATATTTATATCCTCCGCAAGTTTCTTAGTGAAGGAACACAAAAGGAGAAGGATGAATGGAAGCTAACGGTAAAAAGAGTAAAAAAGCAAATGAGGTTAAGTGTTTAGTATCCCCACAACATGATTACGTGTCAGTTCATAATTAATTTAGAATATATATTATACATAATATATATCAGTCATTTTGGTCCCTAAACTTTATCAATTTGCACATTTTGGGCCCTTAAAGTATTTTGTGCATATTTTTTATCCCTCAATTCTAATAAATGCACAATATTGATCTTTTGTCAGTTATTCGTGACATGACAATTAAAAAGTTATACGGTGACATTTTTAAAAAAAATTTTTTATGACATAGCAGTAACACATCATAAAAATTGAAAATAAAAACGCCAACTCATATACTAAATTAGATTAGTATTTATATTTTTAATAAAAAAATAAAAAACTATAAATTTACCTTAATACCCATGTCTCCCTTTCTTGATCCATCTTCTTCTCCTCTTTCGATCCATCTTCCTTCTTTTCTTCTTTTTCTTTCTTCCTCTGTGTTGCTGGGTTCCCTCAAACCCAATTGATCTGGGTTCAATGGAACCCATCTGCTAGGTTCCTTGAACCCAGATCTACTAGGTTCCATCAAAACCAACTCCATTTTTTTTTTTTGTTATATATTTGTTACGAAGAGTTTATGCAGATTGCAAGTTGTAAGGGATTTTTGAGATCATTTTGCTTCATATTTCTTAACTATTATCTAAATGATTTTAATGTTCAAAATGGAAAGAACATCGTTGATGATGGAAAGAACAGAAGCAGTGATTGATGGGGAAAGAAGCAATTTTTAGTGGGTTTCCATTTGCTTGGCTAGAAAATTGTGCAGTTTAGGTGTTTGGATGCTGAGAAAATGGTTTCAATTTATTTGTTAACCGAGAAAAAATTGTAATGTCTATAAAAAAAATTTGATAAGAAAATTATGATTTAATTATAAATTAATTAGAATCTCAATTTGAATTAACATAAATAATTATAGTTTAATGATAATTAATTAATGAAATTTGACTTTGCATTATTTTTTTATCTATATAAGCATTTATATTTAATTTAATTTGTTAATCATTAAAAAATATTAAAAAAATTATCACGTAATTTGCCACATCATTAAAAAAAATTATAAAAAATGTTACGTGAACGGAGTTAACTGTTTAAATTGACAAAAAAATTAACGTTGTACATTTATTAGAGTTGATGGATCAAAAATATACATAAAATATTTTAGGAACCAAAATGTATAAATTAGTAAAATTAAAATATCAAAATAAACATTTAACCTACGTATCATTGTAGTATAGTAGACTTTCTCTTATTTATTAACAGTCCTACGTAGATTCAACGATGACAAAAGCCTCGGATTTGGATGTCGAGCGATAAGAATGCGTTATCGTGCGAGATCGTTCGACTCTGTCTGCATTTTTTTATTTCTCTCCTCGCTATCGACCGATTCTGATATCCGTTTCCTGTCAACATCATTGGCAGATTGTCGTGCGACTTTCGTTCGATTGTGGGTCATTTCGTTCGACTTTCGTTCGATTGTGGGCTATTTCTTTATTTCCAATAAATTTTCCACCTAACAAAGTTGCCTCTATATAAAGCACTCTTAGCTCCGTTCTTTCTTTCTTTCTTGTGGGACTTCTTCTGGTCTTTCTTCCCCATCTTCATAGCTGCCACTCTCAATTTCATGCACCGGAGATTCTTCACGGTTCTCTTTCGTTAATTTGATCATGTACTAAAATAGAAAAGAAAAACGAAAAAAAAAAGTCAGGAAATTAACCGAGAAGTCCACTAATATTAAATCCGGAAATTAATTAACTCCGATGGGTACCTGAAGGTAGTGTTTTCTTGATGAACCAATTGGTGTTTGTTTCAGACACCAGTATCTTCAGGTACCCATCGAAGTTAATTGACTTCTGGATTTAATACTAGTAAGAAAAAAAAGCGGCGACGAGGTTTCTTTTCTGTAGTCATGACTGATGGTTGTATAGGATTCTCTTTTCAAGGAATCGAGAATTAATGAAGAGGAGCGGGGAAGAGGCAGAAGGAGAGGATTCAGGCAGGCACAGGAGTATAAAAACAGAGAGAAGGAGAATACGAGAAAGAAGTTAAGCGAGATTGTTTGGGATATTAAATCGGAATATCCCAATTCAACACAGAATACGCCCTTAGCCCCTTCCATTGCCGGTCGGAAATGCGCCATTCTTTGCCATATATCGCAGGGCATGGCCATTGCTACCAGGCCTTTTGTTTTTTTCTTTTTTGAAAATAAGCAATGGAGCAGGCCTTTAGTTATGCCAGCTAAGAAGTGTAATAATTATATTTATTTTAATTAATTTTAAGATTTATATATCTTGT